AAACGCCAACTTGTGATATTCTTCGCAATCTTATTTTTCACAGAATTTGATTTATTGTTAATTTAATTTACATTAATTAATAACAAATCATTACAATTTAATATATGTCTTTCAACATATTATTAAGATCCTATAAGATGCTATAAGCATCAAATATTGTTAGATTGCGTGTCAATTTAACTAGTGATATTACTACGGTAGTTATTCAGAGTTGCGTTTGTAAAAGACTGAAAATATTTCGGCGCGCGATTAAAGAAGACTACATACGTGGTAAATAAAATTCACACATTACTGTAGCAACCTAAATCTTGCTTAACCGTCATTCGGTCTTTATTCCATTTATTACCTTTTTTCATTATTATTATTTTTTTTTCTTGTCGACATTAATTTTATATAAAGAAAGAAGGATATATGAAAATATTTTGAGTTTAATTATATCCCTTTATATAATTCTTATATGAAAAATGTTCTATCATATAACATTTTTTAAACTTGATTTTTCATCTTTGATTGTCGTTTTGGCTCCTTTCCATGATCATAGAGGTAACTAAGTTCGTCATAACGTCTGGTACGCTCCTGAATTTGTCGATATACACGCACCGTCATTACCTACGCCACGCCATGTTTATCTACTGAACCATGCCTGCCCCTGGAATATTTGTCGCGCAACCCGTCGTACTGCCTAGTATGTATCTGCAACACCCTGTACATGTATATAACTCTATTATATTAGGTGTACAAATCAGTTCGGTCTGTTTTTTGTGTTTAAAAATACATTTATTTCTCTCAAAATGAATGAATAGATTAATTAAAGTATTGTCCATTGCTGGCTACTACTTTTTCCCATCTCTCAGGCAATTTTCGAATTCCATCTCGAAAAAATGACTCACCTTTGGAGGCGATCATTTTTTGGAAAACGGACCGAACTAATTTGTACTCCAAATACACAAATACGCATTTATCGTATTATAGTAGGATTAGATCACTCAAAGATTAATTAATTTCCTATATGTTTTTTCATATAATCTTAAAATAATTGCAAAAACGTTTGACATTTTAGCAAGAAGAAACCAGTGGATCTTCAATTGCCAAAACAGCAAAAACAAATACAATTCCCTACATTTACGGAGATAGAACCACCGCCGCCACTACAAAGGACTTTTAAAGAAAAAACTATTACACAAATTAGTACAAGTGACAGTGACGATGAAAGAATAGCTACTACCTTTAAAAAAAGAAAAATCGGTAACAAGAACATGCGCAAAAGAACGACTGATGACTGATAATATTAATTTGTGAAAAATGATTTGATCTTCTGTCATTTAAATAATAATACTAATGCCCCCGAAAATTCAAATATGAAATTAGGGCATATGAGAATAATAACGCTATAATTATTTCGTGAGCGCTAAGGCTTTTACTTTATTACCAATATTAAAAAATAATAACGAAAAAAATCGTTTCGACTCTTTTTCAAGTCCTCTTCAGCGAAATGAAAACAGTAATGGATATGTAGAAGTTACATCCTCCCAAATAAAGCCAGTCGAAACATACAATTTTTTTCATTATTTTTTAATATTAATATAATAGCTGCGTTCGGCAACGCAAATCTGAGGCGTCGGAGTGCTCTTTTTCTATATTGCACGTGACATATGCTGTAATATAAGATTACTCCGACGCCTCAGATTTGCTATTACCGAACGCAGCTCATATAATAAAATAAAAGCCTTAGCTCACGCAATAATTACAGCGTTATTACTTTCATATGCCCTAATTTCATATTCTGTCATTTAGTTCATGTCTAAAAGTATTTATAATATGTATAGAGAGAAAATTAAATATTATCAATTAATTTAGTAATTAAATTAATAATATTTATAAGGTATTATGTGTGTTTGCATTTATATATAATTTGAGGGTCTTTATATACACACTTTATTATAGAGGAATGTAAATAAAATATGCATATTTTGTAATTTATTTAAGTGTATATATATATATATATATCAGGAGACGCGGTAGCGTCTCCGACCATGTTCAAAAATTGTAAGACGCTACAAATCTCTTATCCCGAGCCATCAAAGTCCATTTTTGGGAGGTGCATAACTATTAAAATATAAAAATTGAATCGAACGTTATATGTCCTGGAAGGCGGCATCACCACGAGTAATTTGAGCCAAAAAAATTTTAAATCGGTCAAGCCGTTCTGGAGATATAAGCGGTCGAAAAGTGGTGAATTTAATGAAAAATTAAGAAACGCCTCCTTCTTCTCCTTCTTCTCCTTTTTCTCTGTCCGCATTTTTAAACTTTTTAAACTTTTCAACATCCTCTCACCTTTCACTCGCACCTCCATCTCGCACCTCCACCATCTTCGGCTCACAGAACCTCCTCCACTCGCCCCTTCCCCTACCACCCACATTTAACGCCACTCTCTTTCGCCGTATTTCACTATATTTCGTTGTTACAACATTTTAACATCCTCTCTCACCTTCCACTCACACCTCTACCATCTTCGACTCACTGGACATTCTCCCCTGCCCTTACCCCTACACCCGCCACCCATCCCCACCGCCCCTTTCTTTCGCCATAATTCACTCTTTTTCGTTATTACAACTTATTAACATTCTCTCTCACCTTTCACTCGCGCCTCTACCATCTTCGGCCCACCAGACCTCCTCCACTCGCCTCTCCCCCTCCCCCTCCTCCCACTCTCACCACCCTTCTTTTGCACCGTATTTCGTTACAACTTTTTAACATACATATTAAATAACACTATTATTTTAAATACTACCGACTGCTGACCGATATGACGTATATTTAAAACTATCGCAGTACTATCACGAGTCAAATTGTAATAATATATTATCACGAAAAGTAACTGATTATTAATTATTAAAGTTGCCAGTACAAAGTGAACATACGTAAAGTGTTAACAACGATGTTCAACCTTTACAATAGAGTATACCCACGTAGCACACTAGCGATTAAAAAGCGCTAAAAAAACGCGTATGCAGTCGCATTACTTCAGCAGCTTTTTAGCGCTTTAAAAGCGCTTTCAAAATCCACTATGAAAAGTGCATTATAAGCGCATATAATCAGCGCAAAATAAATACAGTTTTATAGCACATTTACTGCACTTTTCATGTGCAGTAAAGGAAGAGCGAGCGCTTTTAAAGCGCTTTTTACGCGCATGTTCATTTCTTAATCAAGACTTGAAATTAGCCGCATGTAATAAAAGTGCATAATTAACAGCACTTTTGGGAGGTGCAATCTGAACAGCGCTTCGAAAGCGCTTTACACGCGCTGGTGTGTTACGTGGGTAGACTATCGCTTTGATAGAGCCATCTAACTGAATCTAATCATATCAGTAGTCGATAATTAGCTTGATGTGAATTACCTCTTTTTCAACAGTTTATATTGCGCACATACTACAAAATTTCAGAGATAAATAATCATAATATACGCTTTCGCTATCCCCCTCACCTCACCGCTCCGCGCGTAGAACAATGCCATTCGACTGTCACGGTGTTTCGAATGTACACGGTGCGGTGTGGTGAGGGGACAGTGCAATTTTCGGTTGATTTTCGAATAGTTTACGTGTAGTTTTCGCTGTCCCCCTCACCTCACCGCTCCGCGCGTAGAACAATGCCATTCGATCATCGTGGAGCATTTGGACTGCACGCGGTAAGATGAGGTGGGAAGGGTTGGGCAAATGTAACTTTCAGCTGATTTTCGAATCGCCTTCGTCTAGCTTTCGCTATTCTCCTCACCTCACCGCTCCGCGCGCAGAACAATATCAACTGTTTTACATTTATTTAATAACTTTGTTTTGTAATATGCAATCGCGTTAACGAATAATAAAGAATAAATATGTTATTCTAAAATCATTGCGTTAATATTAGACGGTTAGTGAAAGCTGCCTTGGGATTGTTTTGATTTTGAAGGGCGGACGCTAGACGCACGTCCCCCCCTTACCCGGTTCACCGATAAACCGAGCAGTCATAAATACATATTAAGTAAAATTATTATTTTAAATACATTACCGACTGCTGACCGATATGACGTATATTTAAAACTATCGCATTACTATCACGATTTAAATTGTAATAATATATTACCACGAAAAGTAACTGATTA